CTGTGCTCACCTGGACGGGTCCAGGAAGGTTGGGAATTGACCCAAAATGGGGCAAATCCAGGGAAATTTGGGGTTTTCTGACCCAAAAAAGGGGATTTGTGGGGATTTTTCAGTCTCACCTGTTCCTCACCTGTCTCACCTGTGTCTGTCTCTCCCCGTCTCACCTGGCAGCCAAGCTGCCGCGGGACCTGCAGTGCGCGCAGGTGCAGACCTTCGGGCCGGAGCAGTGCGCCCGCGCCTACGGCAGCGCCGTCACCCGCAACATGTTCTGCGCAGGCGTGCCCCAGGGCGGCGTCGCCTCCTGCCAGGTGAGTCACAGGTGGGTGCCCAGGTGTGTGCCAGGTGTGTACCAGGTGTGCCCCAGGTGTGTGCAGGTGTGCCCCAGGGCGGCGTCGCCTCCTGCCAGGTGAGTCACAGGTGGGTGCCCAGGTGTGTGCCAGGTGTGTACCAGGTGTGCCCCAGGTGTGTGCAGGTGTGCCCCAGGGCGGCGCCAACTCCTGCCAGGTGAGTACCAGGTGTGCCAAGTGTGCCCAGGTGTGTGCCAGGTGTGTACCAGGTGTGCCCCAGGTGTGTGCAGGTGTGCCCAGTTGTGTGCAGGTGTGTGCCAGGTGTGTGCAGGTGTGCCCCAGGGCGGCGCCAACTCCTGCCAGGTGAGTGCCAGGTGTGCCAAGTGTGCCCAGGTGTGTGCCAGGTGAGTGCCAGGTGTGTACCCAGGTGTGTCCCAGGTATCTCAGGTGTGTCCCAGGTATCTCAGGTGTGTCCCAGGTGTATCCCAGGTGTGTCTCACCTGTGTCTCACCTGTCCCAGGGTGACTCGGGGGGCCCGCTGGTGTGCGGGGGGTACCTGCAGGGCGTGGTCTCCTGGGGCCTGGCCGTGTGCGGGCAGCGCGGGAACCCCGGCGTGTACAGCAACGTGTGCCGCGCCAGCGCCTGGATCCGCCGCGTCATCCAGGAGTGACCAGAGTGACCAACGGAGTGACCAGAGTGACCAGAGTGACCAATGGGGACTAACAGTGACCAGGAGTGACCAACAGTGACCAACAGTGACCAACGTGTGCCGCGCCAGCGCCTGGATCCGCCGCACAATCCAGGAGTGACCGCAGTGACCACAGTGACCAGAGTGACCAACGGAGTGACCGCAGTGACCAACGGAGTGACCACAGTGACCACAGTGACCAACGGAGTGACCACAGTGACCACAGTGACCATAGTGACCAACGGGGACTAACAGTGACCAACGGAGTGACCAACGTGTGCCGCGCCAGCGCCTGGATCCGCCGCATCATCCAGGAGTGACCAATGGAGTGACCAGAGTGACCGGAGTGACCAACGGAGTGACCATAGTGACCAACGGGGACCGGAGTGACCAACGGAGTGACCAACAGTGACCAACAGTGACCAACAGTGACCAACAGTGACCAACGTGTGCCGCGCCAGCGCCTGGATCCGCCGCACCATCCAGGAGTGACCACAGTGACCAGAGTGACCAACGGAGGGACCAGAGTGACCAACGGAGTGACCAGAGTGACCAGAGTGACCAATGGGGACTAACAGTGACCAGGAGTGACCAACAGTGACCAACAGTGACCAACGTGTGCCGCGCCAGCGCCTGGATCCGCCGCACCATCCAGGAGTGACCACAGTGACCAGAGTGACCAACGGAGTGACCAGAGTGACCAGAGTGACCAATGGGGACTAACAGTGACCAGGAGTGACCAACAGTGACCAACAGTGACCAACGTGTGCCGCGCCAGCGCCTGGATCCGCCGCACCATCCAGGAGTGACCACAGTGACCAGAGTGACCAACGGAGTGACCAGAGTGACCAGAGTGACCAATGGGGACTAACAGTGACCAGGAGTGACCAACAGTGACCAACAGTGACCAACGTGTGCCGCGCCAGCGCCTGGATCCGCCGCACCATCCAGGAGTGACCACAGTGACCAGAGTGACCAACGGAGTGACCAGAGTGACCAACAGAGTGAGCAGAGTGACCAACGGAGTGACCACAGTGACCAACGGAGTGACCAGAGTGACCAACAGAGTGAGACCAGAGTGACCAAAGTGACCACCGGAGTGACCACAGTGACCAACGGAGTGACCAACAGAGTGAGCAGAGTGACCAACGGAGTGACCACAGTGACCACAGTGACCAACGGAGTGACCACAGTGACCAACGGAGTGACCAGAGTGACCAGCAGAGTGACCAGAGTGACCAACGGAGTGACCGCAGTGACCAACGGAGTGACCAGAGTGACCAACGGGGACTAAGAGTGACCAGGAGTGACCACAGTGACCAACGGAGTGACCACAGTGACCAACGGGGACCGGAGTGACCAACGGGGACCAACACTGACCAGGAGTGACCAACGGAGTGACCAACACTGACCAGCAGTGACCAGCAGTGACCAGGAGTGACCACCAGTGACCAGGAGTGACCAGGAGTGACCACCAGTGACCAGGAGTGACCAGGAGTGACCACCAGTGACCAACAGCAACGAGAGACCACCACTGACCACCAGTGACCAATGGGGACCAGAGTGACCAACAGGGACCAGTGACCAGGAGTGACCACAAGGGACTGGAGTGACCACCAGTGACCAGCAGTGACCACCAGTGACCACCAGTGACCACCAGTGACCACCAGTGAGCAACAGTGACCAACAGTGACCAGGAGTGACCAGCAGTGACCGGAAGTGACCAGCAGTGACCGGGGATTTGGGGGGGAAATAAAGATAAATGGGAAAAACCCCGTGAGA